CAAATTGAGCTTTTCTAAAGTTTTTTACAAAATTTTAATTCAATCTGGAATAAAGCAGTTATATTTTTAATAAAAACAAGTTAGAATTTCCGTAAGATCTAATCTGAAAAACACTTTTAAATTATGTTGACAAACACGCGAAACGACAATTGAGCAATTACTGGATAATTTAGCACGGAAAATGTTGGCACATATTTAATAAAATTTAAAAATAGCATAAAATGTGTTTTTAATAGTGCAACATTAGTTCTGCTAGAGAAGTGCACAATTTTGTATAATTAACTTTGAAGTTAATTCAAGTTTAAAAACTGATTCGGGTCTAGGTGCAACAAGATTAATGCTGATTTCATTTATTCTGCCATGTTCAATGCATAATGTTCCATTATGTGTGTCTTGTAATCCTATAACAAATGTTTTGCTCTATGAGCAAGGAAAACTCAAAGCTATGCTATAACTGAGTTAAGCTTAGTAAATTAGAAATGTATTCGCCTTTGCTTGATAATAAATCACTTTACTCAATTATTTTGCTCCCTAAAAATAACTCCTTCCTGTTCCTCTAAATTCTTGAGCAAACTATTTTAAAAATTTGTCGGTTCGAAAAATTGACAGTCTATGTTTGCGCTTAAAAATCAATAAATTCTTTTACTTAAGCGTTTCAAGTTTCAGTCTCATGTTGTTTTATTGTTTGTCGAATTTAGACAAAAAAAATTTGACAAAAGAAAACTTTAATTAACCTAACAATTTATTGTATTTTAAGAGATTTATCAATACCAAGAGGTTTACTCTTGTTAAAACTGTATTAAAATTTTATTAGGAATTCGGTATAAGAAGTTATTGATGATTAAAAGGTAAACTTTAGAGCTTTTAGATGTTTAATTAATGCTAAATTAATCCAAGTTATGACAGTTTTAATTAGAAAATAATTTTGTGATTCCAAAATACCAGTGAGAAACTTAATTAGAAAACGAAAAAGGTTATTGTTTTGTGCTACTTTTTGCTTATAGAATATTAATATAATTCCCGTGAAATGCTGCAAGTTTTTGCGATCCTTGTTACATTTATCGCTATTTCACAGTAGCAATAATGTTGAGTGTGCACTTAACTCGAAAGTTTTTATTCAACAAGTTACCGGTAAAATACAATTACACCGACTTTGCATTATAGTGAAAATTAAATTATTTTGTTCTTACTTGAGCGCGTCAGCGTTCCGCTCAAAACTTTGATGACACTTTACAGTAACTTTGTTAAATAGCACTCGAAAGCTTGAAATAACTTGCTAATCTCAAACAAATCACTTTATAATATCGCCAAAATGTTTGCTGAAATTTTTAACAAGTTGGAAACTGTGCCAGTGCGACAGGTGGTTGCATTCGAGCTTTCAGAGCCGCTGCTGAAGAAAGCCCGCGCGGTACTATATACATGAGCTTTCGAGCTTTCGGAAGTTGGCGTTCATTCATAAAGCGACTGCGCACTTAGACCCAAAATCGCAATAAAAATGACAAAAAACGTCTCGCACTGTAACACGACTCTCTAATTAATATATTTTTATGAAATATTTTCGTAAATAACTCAAATGTTACTTAGGTATGTGCAAAAAAAAACAATTTTGTTCATACTTTAATTTAAAGTATTTTTTAAGAAATATAGACATCTGTTTCTTAATCAAATAATCATGTGGTTCATTAGAACCCAAAGCAATTATTGTACAAAATTGAAGTACACAATTAATTAAGACTTCTCCTTTAGATTTAAATTAACYAATCACTTCCTAAATTGCTGTTTTGTAATTAACTAACCAGTAGAACGAATTAATACGATTTAAAAAATTATGATTAACATTCATGTCGAATGTCGATATTGTTTGATTATAAAGCATGCTCCATTCTCTAATTTTCAAATATATGTRATAAAATGAACGTGTAATAATAGTAGTTATAAATTTTTGAATGCAATTAGTTAATTTGACAAGAGCAAAGTAACGATGCATTATTGCACTTTCGTTAAACGTGCTTTTAAAAGATAAAATTTATCTCTAATTATAGCTTGTCATCTATCAATTATGTAGAAAAAAAACGAGACTGTAATAGTGGCAAAATAGCAACTGTTATCATCATAATAAAACATACTTTTCTCGTTTTACTGCAGAGAGGTTTAATCATAAACCCACATTATTTCGCCATAAATATAAAGGTGATGAACTTGACTCTCGTTATAAAAATGTTTGTGAAGCTTCTCATACATTGTATACTAGGATAAAATAAAGTTTAAATTGTGTTGTTCTGAAACTATTACTACATTTTATTGATAGTAATAATGTAAATTGAATAAATAAAATAAACAACAATTAATTGCCAAAAACTCAATTATTATTAATTACTTTCACATCAAATAAAATACACAAAAGGTAAATAAATCATATTAAAGCTGAAAAGCTAAATATTAATTACAATTGACGGCAGTGTAATTATTTATGTGGAGAAACTGTCTCGGCCGACAAAGTCACTATAATAGGTCCCACCTCAGCTATCCTATTCTGATAAACCCTTAAGCATTCAAAGGCAATTACACGGTTGGCAAGCCGGTAACCACATTATTTTTTATTTAACCCTTTTATGGGTGAATTACTTGATTACAACATCCCATGTAAATTCACATGAGTTATTTTGGCGCGTAAGAAATTGATTTTAACAAAGTTGAAACAAAATTTATTATTACTGCAGAAATCGTTGACACGGTGTATTTTTATCAAAACAAATATTTATTTTTTGTTATTTAGGTAATTTTTTTGATTGGATTTTTGGTCTATCAGAGTTTAACTCAAATTTGTGATAAAATATTTTGAAATTTAATAATTTGAATTGTTTTCAAGTAGGTACCAAAAAAAAAGAAAACAAAAATAACTAATAATAAAAAAAACTGATAACAAGCATATATTCTAACTTTTTTGACAATATTGTTGCGACTTTTGTAATTTTCTCGTTTCTGAGTGTTAATCGCACAATTTTATGATCTGTTTTGAAAAAATCTTTTGAATTGTTGGCCTAAAAATAAACAAAATTCCTCAATAATGTCTGAAATAGCAGAATTCTAAACTAGAACAAGGAATTTCTATTCTATTTAATCAAAATCTTTTGAAATAAACAAGTTTATGTGTTAAAAATGTGGTGATTCAGAATTAAAAGGATGATTTTTGGCCTGTTTTCTTCAAAATTTCTTAAAATAACTGCGGTTTTAGCTCAAAACCTTTAAAATAAGTCAGTTATTCAAATTTGTCATAAAATATTTTTAAACTTAATAATTTTAATTGTTTTCAAGTAGGTACAAAAAAAAAAAAAAACAAAAATAACTAATAATAAAAAACTGATAAAACGCAAATATTCTAACTTTTTTGACAATATTGTTGCGACTTTTGTAATTTTCTCCGAGGAAAATGCTCTAAATTCTTAAAATGAGCAGAAATAACACATTTCAGGCTTAATTTTGCAATTTTTACCTTGTTTTGACAAACACTTTTGGCTCTTTTGAATTTTGAGTTTCACAGTAAACAACATTCTAAATCTATCGAAATTACGAAAAATTACGGACGTCAGAACTGATTTTCATTTTTTCTTCTTTGGTTTGGGAAAATCTTTAGAATTGTGTTAGTTCCTCGGTAAAAAACGCTGTAAGTATTGAAGTAAGAGAAAATAACGAATTTCAGATTTGCCTTCATTTTTTTTTCTTCTCTTAACAAAGAACACCTTAGATACATAGAAACATGAAAAAATAACATATTTCAAACTCAATTTTGCAATTT